GGATGGATGGAGGGATAGATGGATGGATGGATGGATATATGGATGGATGGATGGATGGATGGATGGATGGATGGATGGCTGTGGGTAGATTGAATGGATGGACAGATGATAGATAGATAGATAGATAGATAGATAGATAGATAGATAGATAGATAGATAGATAGATAGATAGATACATACATACATACATACATACATACATACATATATGGATGGATATATGGAGGGATAGATGGATGGATGGAGGGAGGGAGGGAGGGAGGGATAGATGGATGGATGATGGATGGATATATGGATATATGGATATATGGATGGATGGAGGGAGGGATAGATGGATGGATGGATATATGGATGGATGGATGGATGGATGGATGGATGGATGGATGGCTGTGGGTAGATTGAATGGATGGACCGATGATAGATAGATAGATAGATAGATAGATAGATAGATAGATAGATAGATAGATAGATAGATAGATAGATGGATATATGGATGGATGGATATATGGATGGATGGATGGAGGGATGGATGGAGTGGGTGGGTAGGTGGGTGAATCTCAAATATTGGATCCCACCAAACTTCCAGCGGGTCATCTTCCCAATCGGATGCCTTCCCCATCTCCTAATGCAAAAAACTGCTCTTCTCTAACACGGCTTCCCCCCTCCTTCCTCCCCAGGTGCAGCTGCCCTCTCTGGGGCCGTCACCCACACGGTCTCCACCGCCGTCATCGTCTTTGAGCTGACCGGCCAGATCTCACACATCCTGCCGGTTATGATTGCGGTGATCCTGGCTAACGCCGTGGCCCAGAGTTTGCAGCCTTCCCTCTACGACAGCATCATCCGGATCAAGAAACTGCCCTACCTGCCAGAGCTGGGTTGGGGACATCAGGAGTAAGTGTGCATGGATGTGGGCACAATCCGTACTCAGAACCAGGCCACGGACTGGGAGTTGGGGATTCTGCACTATACCAATTCAGATGAATGTTTGTCCAATCCAGTGGTGAAATTCAAAAACTTTTACTACTGGTTCTGTGGGCGTGGCTCGGTAGGTGTGGCAGGGGAAGGATTCTGCAAAAACCCCATTCCCTCATCACTCCAGGGGGAAGGATACTGCAAAATCTCCATTCCCACCCTACTCTGGGGCCAGCCGGAGATGGTATTTGCCGGTTCTCCGAACTACTCAAAATTTCCGCTACCGGTTCTCCATAGCCTGTTAGAACCTGCTGAATTTCACCCCTGGTTCAATCTCTTTTTAAAAATATATTCGCACAATCTTCTCTTCACAAAGCAACAGATAGAAAAGACTGGATTTCTTGTTTTATTTCTTTGGAATCTAGGTCTTCATTAGCTTTTAGCCTGGCGACTAGTAGTGGGTTTCAAAAACTTTTAAAACCTATTCTGTAGGTGTGGCCTGCTTTGTGGGAGTGGCTTGCCAGCCATGTGACGGGGTAGGAGTGGCTTGCCGGCCATGTGACCAGGTGGGAGTGGCTTGCCAGCCATGTGACTTTGTGGGCGTGGCCAATTTGTAAAATGTGAAACTCACTTAACAACGCTCTTGCTTAGCAACCAAAATGTTGGCTCAGGAACTCCAGCATTTGAAGCACACAAGTCTTAAAGCTGTCAAGTTGCAAGACCCTTCCACCCCTAACCCTTTAGAAAAACCCCTCAGGGGTGT